CACAAAATCAGAAGTATGTTCCGATTCTGTCTTTCAAACACATTACAACAACCTCTTGTATTATTACTAACTGTGCACAACGATGCACGCACACGTAACGGTTGTACTGAGTTTGTGACGTTGTTACTGGTGATCGGAATGCAATACACTCTGAGAAGCGATATATTTTGAAATAAATGTCAGAGGACTACATTTTATCAACTGGAGTCATCAGTTTATTGCGGAGATGTCAAGAACATTTTAGACAGACTATATCTAAAGTGAGTGGTGATCATCAGTCAACCACAGAGTTATCGGGTTGTCAAGTTGCACTTTTTTACATACGATCTACTTTTAGCAAGAACGAAGTGTGTGTTATTCACAGGCAAGTTATGATATCATTAAACGACTTACATTGCCTTTATCGGACATCAAAACTAAAAAAGGAACTATAGAATGACTGTCACATGTGAATATTTTAAAATATAATTATAGACTATTTAATAGCATCTGTGTATATTTTTCCCACCCGGTAGATAACAATTCAACTTAAGTAAATCAATTCGTCGTTTAATGGCTATTAAGTGAGTGAGGGTATTTGGTAGCGGTTATAAAACCTCTCTGGGGAAAATTAGTATTAGGCGGCGGATAATAACCGGACGTAAGTGGCTACGACCCATTCCACATAGCTTAACTCATCGATGGGCGTGTCGCACGACAAACAACTATAGTTACTTCAACTAGCGATAACTAGCTATAATACCGACCATAACATCATAAACAAAGGAAAATACAGCCCTTTAAGTGGTTCTTTGCACGTACGCCGATTTACGAAACTAAACGACATACCCAGCGAGTGGCAACGACGAACGCGTCGACAACGTCACGTTTTTATTCAAATTTCGAAGCGAGGTCACAGGTATTCTATAGCGCAAGATATAACACCGAGCTTCAGCCAATCAGATGCCTAGACTCAAACTGACCACGTTATAATTCGCAATAACAGATGATTAAATCAACACTCGTGCAGAACAATACCAGGAAACTCGCATTAGTGACTCGCCACATCCGTCGAGTTAGAAAGATAATTTTATTCAAATAGGATATATTTCTGTTCATTCATATGAAGCTAATTCCTTTCCCAAATTAGTTAAACACATATATAATAATATAAGTATATTATAAGTAAGTTAATTCCCACATTCCGTTGGCAGAGGTTCTTTCAACAAAGCCTAAAATGAGTCAATAGTTCCAATTATATTTTAAGTTAAACTGGGAGTAAGGAAAACTATAGAATAATAACAACCACCTATAGGGTGGCAAAGCTTATTTGCTATGCCAGCACAACACAGCTGGTGCATACATACAGTATGCATACTGAGTAGCGACATGGTCTTCTCTCCTACAAACTATTGATATTATTATACACATCATATATGTACACTCGAATTACAAGGAAAAATATACATGTATCCAGTACACCTACACATTTATAATGTTATATCGTCTTATGCATTTCTGTTACGGCGATAATTTACGGTCATCTGCTAGTGCCCATAGCTGTGTGATAGATTTGAAATATGTCCTTGATGTGAAATCTAATGGTTCGGATCGCTGGTTCGACGACTCCCTTAGTGAGCTGTATATTCAGCATCGACAAAAAGAGCACTTATTGCCCACTTGCCTTGCTCGCGATATCCTGGTTGGGATTATGGCGTCCAGTTGAAGGAGACGTAAAATTCGCGTTCTCGCGAGCTGTTCCCTAGTGCGCAGAGAGTCCTTGTTGTATTGAGTAGCGGATTACCACGGGATGACTATAACATACCCTAAATTAGGGGATAAATATACGAACTTTCGATACTCCTCGCTCGTGTGACGTTATCTTGGCCTCGTGACTCCCTGTACAGCTTCCATACACATGTGCACGTTGTCTCGACTGAATGGTGCTAACTGATAATATCTGTTTATTGATTTTAGACTGTTAATAGCCCCGTCCACACGACTACAATGCCGGACAATTGTGTCCCACGGTGCCGAAGCTGTGTTTGTTTTTATAAGATATTACATTAAACGATTTTCTGTGCCATGATGGTCATAAAGTGCTCTATTGACTAACTATTGTCAACACCACCAAGCCTAGGTATGTACAGTGAGTGAAGGGCGAATACTTTGTATATATTAAAGCGGGAGGGTCGTCACCTGCGAATGCTTGAATTCCAAGCGACGATCACAACACACGCTAAAAACGCAAAGGCTCATAGGTAGACGCTCGTTTGTAAACAATGGCTCGCTATGGCCATCCGACGCATGCGCAGGTGACGACTCCCTCGCTTTAAAACAAAAACTAAAAACAAAAGCTCACATTAGATTACAGAATTACCGGAGTACTTTCCAAGTTGAATTGCTATTTATGAACTGCCTTCTTGTATGTTATACATCATGGTGAGTGTTGTAGATCTTGACATGCTAGTATCGATTATATGTAAATTTGTGCATTGTGTCATGCATGTTAATATATATACACTTGGAAACGCAAATACAACTTGGCAAATAAAACGACTGGTTGAAGTTTACATAATTGATTCGTCGTGTGTGTTTTACAGTCCAATGTGTGCTATGCGTAACTACTGAATAAGCAAAGGGGTGTTCTAGCAGCATTCTGTTTACGTAAGGTTCGACGATATAATGATTCCTATTTCTAATAATAACATACGCTAAGGCAAATGAATACGTTTGGTGAACTCATTTTTAAATGAGGTTAAGTAAAGGACAAGGATGCACCTATATTTAATATTGATTCATCTGAGACTTCTCTGTGGCGTACGTGCTGTCGCGGTTATAATCTAATCTAATATAATCTAATATAATATAATTGTCGACATTTGCTGAGGGACGGCCGCTTAGGTATGTGCTCTTTAACTTGCGGCACATGAACCTAAAAACGTTAGGTAATCAAACAAAAATGACGAAAAAAGTACGTTCAAGGTCATCATTTTTTCTTAGCATAAAAACGATTTGCTCCCTCGCTTATTGTGACACCCTCAAATCAACTGATTTCCATTCCCCCCCCCCTAGAATCAACAATGGTATATGCCTCCATTTTACGCCGAGATCGATGCGCGGTGTACTGTCTGAGTGCATACTTTGAGGTATCCTCGAATAACCTTATTATTATACATTTTTTCCTTTCAAGGATACACCATGGGAATGCCGAATTCCAAATTGTTGAGAACAGAATCAGCGAACTTCTTTGTGTGTTGAATCCGGTCAAACTCTGGTGCCAGCCGTGTTTGTTTTTATTATTAGAGGACGCTTACGTGAGTAATCATTCCATATTTGGAATTCGCATTTCTTAATATGGTAAGATGAAAATACCCCGTAAAATACCGCAAAATAACGATACGCTGCAACTTATGGCATTACGGTGACATGTAGTATGTACGCCCCGTGTATGTACGTGTATCAGTATATGAGAAACGGAAAGTGGGCAATGGTTGACGTAAACTATCTAATATCAGAGAACTACCAGAATGACAGGCATACAGGAGTAGATATTACATGAATAAATACGATACGATACGATCGTTGTTGTCATTCAATTCACCGAGTGATATATGTATCACGGAAAAAATAACCATCATGCAATTAATAACGAATTGAAAAATAGAACACGGTAAGGGCATGGGTGGTCTACACGTCGATAGAAAACATTACAATATCAGTTACATCGTTCATAAATCCAAATCTGATTATTCACACTTTTTAAGTGTAAACTATATTTAGATACAAACGTTTTATGACTTATCATATGTCAATCCACGCCCACGTGCTTGTACATTTACATCTACAAGTCTCGAGGCTGCACAAGTTTTGTCATCGTCATCCATAATTGATAAATATATAGCATAAATAAAATAGCAAAAAAAATCGTCCATTAACTCAGAATGTTTATATTGGATTAAAACCACCATGATGGATCCTCACCAGGGCACCTACAACTCGTGATATGCGATTGATTGTGAACTCAATTTCAAATTCTTAATCTTTCTTCCCTGGATCTAATCTTTATTACAGTTCTGGTAACACTATTTTAATTAAAATAAATCAAATCTACTATAATCAAAGATTGTACACAATGATTTATGTATTTTCAAAAGAACTGTATTGTCCGTGTCAGATTAACAATATATATCTCATATCGCAATAAGATAGGCTTTATTATTGACACACAATTTTATTAGTTATCTAAGTGCTAAGATCTATTCACTACCAGCACAATTAACTACGGTTGAGTGTATACTAGAAAAAGCGAAGAACAGATTATATGTTTTCATAACAACAACTGATCTGAATAATGAACATACGGATACTACATTATTCATATTTAAAGTAACGTTGTATTGGGAGATGTAGTTTTAAAATTGTCTATACTAGTGTATATAAATACTAATATTCGCCCCATCGAATCACTACTGTGGTGATTAGTAAAGAACTGTGTTGTTATAACCTATGACGTCTCCGTGAAATAGAATACATCAGCCAATGTGTCTCCATGGCAACTCACAAGATCAAATGTACAGCATTAACCTAAAATAATGTTTAATCAAATATGAAGTACACAATCACCAAACAACCTTCAGCCGCAGATACAAATAGACCCAGTTGTTTAAATTAGCTACGGTAGTTGAATATCTCCTTCCGTTTGGGTCACGTGACTATGACGAGTCACGTGGTCACGCGAAATGATTCCACCTCAGGCAGTCAGTCAGTCAGTCTGTGTAGATACGTACACGCGAAAGGTTGGTGAACGACACCGCACGGATCTGCTGTAACTATATAAACTGTGTATTCGCCTCGATTCGAGCAACATCAGGGGTTAATACAAATGTGGAGAGCTCTTTTTTAAGAGAGTGGAGCAACGTGAAGCTAACCCGGACAGTAACTGTTTAGAGAACGGTTTACTACTGGTCTAACCTGCACCTCAACTATAGCAATTACTGCTAGTAATTTGACTCATAGACATGGGATGCAGCAATTCAACGGCAGACAAGCCGAAATTGACAGTTGAACAGAAACGCCTGATTATCGATTCGTGGAAAGAATTACACATCGATCTCGAAAGAATAGGAATGCTCATGTTCATGGGGTGAGTAATATTCCCGTGGATGTAAGATTTTAAGAATCAAATTCGTATAGAATCTTCGTAAAAAAAATATCAAAGATAACCGTACCAGCCACATATATGTATGTGTGACGTGGTTCATATATTTACATTGGGAATGGTCCCTATGGATACTGAAAAA